CTTGAGCGGCTATTCAGCAAGTCTGTAGCCTCTCTCAGAGGTTCGAATGCTGTCCATGGTGCTCTTTGTTTTCGGCTGGGTTCATCCTTCATGTTCACTTGTTGGGGCGTCCTAGATGAATTTCCTCTGTCGGTGACGTCCAAGAATAATTGACTCTCGCTGCACTACAAACAGCACACAGAGCAGTTGCAAGGAGTTTCTGCAGATAACCAATTTAGATAGTACGGGAGTGGGGGAGCTTCGGCCCAAGGCAATCGCCTCTAGAAGGTATAGTAGAGGAACAAAAGGAACAAACATTTAGTGCGGACATAGCTATTGATGTTTACGGAAATTTGCCATATAGTACCCTTATTTCAGCGTATAGGACTCGGAGGATTCTTTTCTAAAATTGAACAGCACAGACACGCCGAAGGACTTCGCGACCAAAAAGCTATTTACAGTGCTGCATGTTGCCTGAGAGTACCGTGCGCATAAGTGTTGTTTTCCGAAACACAACGAGGAGCTGAGCGGCAAGCTTGAAATATCGAAGAAGGTGTGTCGCGGCTCAGCGATGCGAGCAGCTCCTCGAAACAGCGAGCCGGGAGCGCTGGTTGCCGCACTGCCAGTCGCGCTGCTATTTTCGCGGCTGGACCTCTTCCGCTGGCGCGCTGCCAAGCAAAGGGCTATATATAGCCGCGCCCAGAGCGGCTGTATTCTTGTCCTCGGTTCATTGTCTTCTCTCGAGTGTCGTTTATTGATTGAGTTCTCCTTATCCTTGGCAGCTTCTGGCAGCTCCCGCATGAATGTTTTGTGTAAGCGGTCGAGCATGTAGTTGGATTGGGATCCAACGGTTCGCTCGTGGATTGAGGATTCTAGCAAGTTCCATCCGCGGGAGTGAAGAGGTACGTACCGTTCCGTACGGACCAGGCGTCGTGCGGTGGACATGAGAGGAACCCTGAGTACGTTCGCTGAAGGAAATGTCTTCTGGGCCATCGGTGGCGCGGGGTATCGCGGCTCGCCCCGCGTCGTAAGGGTTTAGTATTTTCTTGTAGTTTTAGTAGTATGTTTAGTTTAGTAGTTTATTTTGTGTTATTTAAGATAAACTTGTGTGATGTATTATTTGTGTGAGATCTCTTGCGTTCTAGTCGCGCTTATTTTTAGTATGCGGGTAGGGGTAGTTGCGACACGGTCGCGCAAGCAAGAGCTCAGCTTGTTCGAGCGTTTGTAACATCTCAGGAACACGGGATCGGGTCGTATGTGGCGAGCGGTGAAAGGTGCTGAGCCCCTAGGAGCCGCAACATGGTGCATCGTGCCGAGCGTATGGTTGATGGAGGTATCCGCCCGCGAATGGATTGGATTGGACGCGAGGATCGACGATTCATGGATAACATCTTGGAACGAGACATGGAACGCGCTTTCCCATCAACCATGCGTGCGTAACGAACCCGAAGTACCACGCTCAGCGCCCGATAGGAATGTCGAGGTGGACGGCAACACAGGAGTGAATATCTACACAGCCAGCAGCAGGACCACAGAGGCGGTAACCGTGAGTGTGATGTTGAGCGTGAGATGGATAGGCGGTAAGATGGTGGCAGCTCTTCCCAACTTGAAGTCTCAGCTAGCAGCGTTCACTTCATACGATGATCGGGATCTGTTCGTGCTTCTGAAGAGCTATTCAGGGACGGGCCGGTGTCATCCCCTTGGCGGCTCGACCGAGGAACCCTTCCCACAGGGTAGGCGCGCGCAAATTGTCGAGCGGGCCCGAAGTCGAGTGCGGGCTCCTTCGGGAGCGACAGTGGCGGCACGGCTATGGCACCGTCCTTTTGGAACCTGGATCACACCGGTGACAGCGCATGTGGGTGATAGCGCAGGATTGGTCGTCACCGGAGGGAGTGCGAAGGTGCACATGCCTCGTACGGGTGGAGTGTACTCGTGCACAGAGAGTCACAGAGTCGCGGGAAGTAATTCCTTCGTACCGTTAGGACGTCAACGCGGCAAAAAGGCACGGCTACTTAAGGTCGTCCAGGGGCCCACGGGCAGCCTCCCTTTTCCCCTTTTTCCCTTTTCCCTTATCTCCCTCTGCCTCTCCTACGCGCCGATAGGAGCCCTGAATAGTTTCCGATGGGTTCCGGACAGGTCACCTCTTCTGTACAATGCTATACGTCAACATCATGCTGGCTCCCTGCTGTACCTGTTTTATCTCACGCCCATGGTTTCCCACGTCGTTGCTACCCCATTGTCTGTGATAGTGGTAAGTTTGTCGTCGTTTACTATGTGGTTACTCATTTCATATTTAGTCGGGGGGTCATATTTTAGCCTTTTGTTTGTTTATCTGTTGTTGCTAAGTTTTCTCTATTTTTCAATCTGTCCTTTCCTTTTAGATAATATCCCTTTCCTTTCCACTATGGTCCCAGACGCCGACGTTGCCAAGCAGTCGAAGGAACATCACGGAACTCGACTGGAGAACAATGGACCAGTAGGCCTTGTTTGGAGGTGAGTTAGGACCTACATTGGCTTTGTCATAATACCTTATCTTTTTCGTCATGTCATCATTGGCCGCGCTGCTGATGCGTGTAGCCAGCTGGAGCGGAGCCTAGAAGTTCCCTCGTTGGGTTTGGTGGTCGATGAGGACATCTCCTACCTTCAGCAGACCCAGGACCACTAGTACGCTGGTGGGCTGGATCTACTTCTGATGGAGGACAACGGACTTCTCGATCGTTGAGACAGAACGAGCTAACTTCTCCTGAGATGCCTTTGATTTTTTTCTTGTTGCTTCATCCCCTTTTTTGGTGTGCCCCCCTGTTTCAAATTTTTGTTTCCTTCAACATGCGCGACAGTTGAGCTCAGATATAGAGTCATCTATAGCTTAGCAATTCCACCTTGCTTGAGCGTATGTCACGTAGGTTGACCTTACCCCCTTTTTGGATTGTGCTAAAACGCATTCAAGTTGGACTGGCATTCCCCAATAGACCCTATTTTTGTTTACCCTTTAGTTTCGAACTTGCCAGATCCATTCATCCATTTCACTATCCTGAAATTGCCCCAATTCCTTTCTTGTCATCGTTGGAGCAACTTTCATTCACGGATCTCTGTCTATTTGTTTTCTATACTGTCGGATTTCTCCCAAGTTGAAACATTCTCTTTTCGCGCAGTCACATCATTGCGTTTATTTACCCCAGCTTGGTCGAGATGCGACTTGCGAAAACTCTTTGGCTTTGTTCAGCGGCGGAGAATTGTAGCGTCACCGCGGATTCTGTGTACACGTAGGACCAACTGTAAATGTCCAAGTCTGTCTTACGAATGAATTGTTCTCATTGTCATCTACGTGCCAAAGGCGCGTCGCGCAGTTAACATCCCGGCAGCCATTTAGGTTCATTCGCACGATTGGAGATGTTTTGGTCTGGTCACTATGTGGAACCCGGTTGTATCATTAGTTGTAGACTTGCAAGCGAAGGATTTTGGGAACAACGCGCAGCCTTCTTACATCTTGCTATGTTATTTCAAGCGACGCACACGAGCACGTTGATTCGCGATAACATCATTAATCATCTCATCCTCCTTTCTTGTCGTCAACTCTTTTCTCGGCTTAGGATTGTTAGCATAGGTAGATTTTGCTTCGTGTGAATTTTCAGCGCGTTTCGCGCGCTTCGGACTCATGTCTACTTGTGTTCATTACTGTTCTTCTTCAAATGTACCATCTACGTTTTTGTGTGGCGTGCGTCATGTAGTATTGTCGGGCTGTACTCTATCCATCTTCTTGGCTCATCCTGCTCGCGGAATATTGTACCGGACATTTGATAGCGTAACATCTCGTTAGTCTGTATAAGTTTGCTGCGTATCGTTTGAGGACGACTTGAACGTGCCAACTCTGTGTCATCTAAATGGATCTTGTACAAGCTTTATCGTCCAGTACTACTTGTAAGATCACTAGCACATTGTCCGTCGTTCCACCTGTGACGTGACTCAAAGATCTTTGTCAGCTAGCTTTGCGACTGCAACAGGTGTCCTTTATCAACGTTTTCAGTGTTCACTCTCTAACGCGACTTCATCGCGCTCGTCATTCTCGAACTCTCCGTACTACAACAAGGAGATGCTTCCAGCGAGGATTTGGACGCGTGACTCCTGTGTCTATCTTGCAGTGCATTTATAGTCGCATGTCAGTCGTTTGTGACGATTTTTTGAACAAGTTGTGGATTGATTACCCTTGTCGCTCGCGCGGAAGCGTACCCTTTTCTACCATCTTGCGACACAGATTATTTCCACTAGGTCATCCTTGTTCAGTCATCGTTCACTTGGATTTGACGTCGGAACTAGCGCGCATTACCCGTACGAATGAGTAGCGCCTGATAGTTCCGTAAGTACAGAGGCATAACATCGCCCAACAACGTGGATCGCCGTTAACTCTGACGCTCGTTAAGACCAACATATGGAACAGAAGTTGGTAGTTATACGCGCGTTATCATGGATTTTGTCTAGTCATGGACATCGAACCTTTATGGCACGACAACGTGCTGATTGCTTTTGTGTGCTTGTATCATCCGAAGGAAAAGAGTGCATGTCTATGTTCGATATACCAGGACTCAAACACTACATCCCCACAAGATCTTGGGTTAAGGAATTACAGCCGTCACAAGCCTACCTTATGAATTACAAGGTCAGCAGTGGGACTCGACGAGCTACATAAGTTTTTCTCGACTCGTTTTACCCGATTATGGATTTTTAAGAACTCGTTACTACCGTCGATACCTTGGCCGCGCATGTATATCGTTAACATCTACGGTGGTTACATGGCTTATATGTAAAGGATTCTACGCAGTTTGAGACTCATTGACATCGAGTTTGGAAGTGTATCTCGATTTGAACATTTCGTCGTCGTGGCAACGTCATCAGCCAAACCAAGGAGTAAGGCAACAGATAGCTGGCCGTGCGTTATTGTATTTGTCATCTATAACAGTGGCATGTCAATTTTGTATACATCTTGTACAACAGTTTTGGTGCACGGCAAGTATCTCGTCAATCTTCAGTCCTCAACAGGTTACTTAAGATCCCCTTAGATCCTTTACATCTTCTATTTTCTTTCTTTTATCTAGACTCTCCTTTAGCGCGATTCCTAAAACCGATACTCTCGTCTAACGTTACTTTATAGAGCTCGTTGGTCCCGGCGCGAAATCGCGCGATTTGTAAGTCAGGCCGTGTGAGCATAGTCATCGATCGATGAGCATCGCTTATGGAATACTATCGACACGCGCTTTGTTCTCCTTCCTTTTTAGTGTACCCTAATAGTAGGATTTTTTGTTCAGGTCTTTATTAGTATTCTGTCTTTCTAGGTTGTATAGTGATTTTCTATTAGTTGTAAAGTTAGTTTTTCGTTTGATTCTATCCTTTAGGTATTTAGTTATCCTTCCTATCGTAGTTTTGGTTGTATAAGTTTTCCGTAGTAGTAACCTTCCATCTTATGTAGTACCTCGTGTGGACGCGCGTTTATATTGTCACTACTCAGTACCGATTGTTGATCATTTAGTGACAACCGAGTACCTTTGCCGTGACATTGCTACTGTTATATCAATAAACGCACCGACAGTTATCCAGCCGCGCAAGGGGTACGCAAACACAGGGGACACTGCAAGTAAGAAGTTTACTGTTTTATTTTCTTTCCTAGTTTTGGGACTCCCAGGCGAAATTGCCACTTTTGCGTCCCTTCCAAAATAATACATTTTTTGTTATCCTGCCCCAACTATTCTTTTATCGGTTTTTAAAGCTTCTTTTTTCGTTCTTCTTTATTGCATTGTCCCGTGTATTGTCTCCTTTATCAAATCCCGCAGCGCATTTTTTTCAGCGCTTCAACTTTGCTGTATTGTTTTTTGCAATGGAACCCTCAACATCTTCATCGCTACTGCGCACTGCGAGCCATCGCGCACGGTCTCTACCATCAGACGCGCACGCGCATGTAACATCCAGCGCATCTTCTACACAGCTTTTTAACATTCGCAACGCGGTGCGGCAGCAAGCTGGCAAGAAGCAAGGCGTATTATAGCGCATGCAACAACGAGCTGCAGCTGCGTCAAATCATAGAGCGCGTAGAATATCAGCGCGATTTAGTACATCTAGCGCAGCCTGCTCCCAATGCACCATTACGCCCCAACCCATCGCCATCTATGTTTGCGCCAGCCTTGCCAATGCTAGAGGACACGGTTTTGCCGCACACGGTAGAAGAGCTTACGCGTTTCAGTTGCGCACAGTATTCAACTTTATTGTTAGTTCAGGTTGCGCGCGCATAGATCAAGCGCAGCAAGTCCAGCAGGCAGTACAGTCTCCATCATAGGAGCAACACCTAACCGCACGCATAATATTCCACGCCGGTCAGCTTAAAAGCGTTTTGGGCCGCGCTAACCGTGTTTTTCTAAGTATTGCCACGTTTTTAACGCGCAATCCTAAAACTAGCATACGCTATACGGTGCTTATGGGGTTCATACATGTAATACAGCACGCTAGTACCGCCATCGCAGTCCATCGCGACACTATAGCGGAATTGCTGCTCTCGCGCGTTTTTCAGAGTCTTCAGGATCAGCAACAGTTCCAAGATGCGTTGAACACCTATCAAATTGATGAAGACATTCTGAGGCAACATCTTATGGCTGCATCAGCAGCCATCGCGCATGCTACGCGCTTGACGCTTACCTTGGAGGCGTATCAATTGGACTACGTTCTGTCGCGCCACTCTAGAGAGAGTCTATTGCCGACCGGGACTATCATCGACTCCTTGTACCACCTGAGCCGGGAAATGTCCCATTCTGTCCAGGGAATTACATCCAGGCGTTACGTTACTGGCAGAGCAGTTATTGCGATGCGCTCCAAGGTGCCCTGACAGAGAATTATCTCCGTATTGTTGAGACAGAAGGACCATCTATCCCTCTGCAGAAGCCACACGTTAGTCAAGCCGAGCACCAGGACTTTGAGCAGCAGTTCATTGCCACAGCACCCGCGCAGGTCATCAGCGCGAAGGAGCAGGAAAAGTCTCTCTCTAGCCACGAACAGCAACCCACGGAGTTTGAAAGCTCACGATCGCCAACACCGTTACCGCCGCCGCTAGAGGCTCAGTCATGCAATACCCCGTTTCAGCCACCTCCCACCATTATTATTATAGACGTAAGACCAAGAAGTCGCGCGCGAGTGCGCAGAGCCCGTAGCCGTACCATCCGGTTGCGCGGGAGGCTGGACTAGCGTCCATTCAACCACCATCGCACTTCGCGCAGGAGGCTGAGCTGTCTCTGAAGAAAGATCAGAAGAGCGGGAGTATGGAAGAACAACCGTCGGATTTGATCGAGAGTACATCGGAGTCGCGTGATTTAGCACGACAGGAGGATAGGCCGACGATGTCGAGAAAGACAGAGAGCGTGCAGAGCCAGGAAGGCAGTCAACTGTAGACGCGTCGAATATCTTGTGTCTTCTGTGAGAGCGAGAAGTACTACAGTGCAGAATGTCATGTGGTCAGAGTCGAAGGCTAGCGATCGTGCAGGAAAAGGACGTCTGCCCTGTATGCTTGTGGAGGCACTACGATCGATGCGCAAGCGAGAATAGGGTAATAACCGTAGAGGCGCCGGTCATCATCGCGCGTTTTGTTGGCATAACAGCGGGATTGTTACGGAGGGTTTGAGCGCGAGCGAGTTTTATACCTGCTTAGCCAAAATTACTTATCGCCCAGTACCATCGGGCAGCTTCGTCACTTCGCAGCGCGTTACGCTAACATCGCCTCCACGTTGCGTGCTTGCGAGTGAGTTTTGATTTAAGGTGAGCAAGTGTGTGGCGGCGTGCAGGATTTCTTGGATCATACCACGTAAACATTGTTCGATATTTTCTCCATTTTGACCTCGTAAACAATTTTTTGTTACAGTTCTACAACATCCAGCGGTGTGTCGAGGCCGTTGTCGAGCATGCGTTTGTGTTTGAGTTATGGGTCGATGGGAATGGTCCAGCCGAATGGGGTCGAGCAACATCACGATCCAGCACGAACTACACTTGCCGCCATGTACATACTTATATTTAATCCCAGAGCAAGTACTTGAAGACTTAGTTAGTTAATTGTATTTAATTGCATTTAATCTTTAGCTTAGTTTCATTTAATTTTCGTATTTAATCCTTTTGTGTTTATCGTAAGTTAGTTATATGTGTACGCGTTTATTTGTTAACGCGGGGCGGGTTCTCTTCCTGTCACTTCTCGTTCCTTGATGCGCATTCTCGCGGCACCGATGTGGGTTATTTTTTGTATCGTCAAGGCTTTACTAGGTGGTCCTCTCTGGTTCCCAGCGTTATCACGTAACCACCTTATCGAACGTCCAAGCAGCTGTTTCGGGGGGAAGTGTCGCGGCTCAGCGATGCGAGCAGCTCCTCGAAACAGCGAGCCGGGAGCGCTGGTTGCCGCACTGCCAGTCGCGCTGCTATTTTCGCGGCTGGACCTCTTCCGCTGGCGCGCTGCCAAGCAAAGGGCTATATATAGCCGCGCCCAGAGCGGCTGTATTCTTGTCCTCGGTTCATTGTCTTCTCTCGAGTGTCGTTTATTGATTGAGTTCTCCTTATCCTTGGCAGCTTCTGGCAGCTCCCGCATGAATGTTTTGTGTAAGCGGTCGAGCATGTAGTTGGATTGGGATCCAACGGTTCGCTCGTGGATTGAGGATTCTAGCAAGTTCCATCCGCGGGAGTGAAGAGGTACGTACCGTTCCGTACGGACCAGGCGTCGTGCGGTGGACATGAGAGGAACCCTGAGTACGTTCGCTGAAGGAAATGTCTTCTGGGCCATCGGTGGCGCGGGGTATCGCGGCTCGCCCCGCGTCGTAAGGGTTTAGTATTTTCTTGTAGTTTTAGTAGTATGTTTAGTTTAGTAGTTTATTTTGTGTTATTTAAGATAAACTTGTGTGATGTATTATTTGTGTGAGATCTCTTGCGTTCTAGTCGCGCTTATTTTTAGTATGCGGGTAGGGGTAGTTGCGACACGGTCGCGCAAGCAAGAGCTCAGCTTGTTCGAGCGTTTGTAACATCTCAGGAACACGGGATCGGGTCGTATGTGGCGAGCGGTGAAAGGTGCTGAGCCCCTAGGAGCCGCAACAAGGTGCGTCTTACAGGGGTGAAATTAGCGTAAATGGAAATGTATGAAAAACCACTAGATTGTGTGCGGACCAACATAATATCTTCAGCCAAAGCGGCACTCCGAATCCGTTGATTTTGCCCTTAAAAAATTGAAGTCGGTTACAGACCACCTCCTCTTTTCAAGCACGACCATATTCTTTGAAACTAAAATTCTTTTTATAGCTACGGCATAAATATATGAGATATTTATAAGACATATTATTATTTGTTCATTATCTATTTTATTTATAATGAGTGCTAACGCCCTATAAAAAGCCGCACTGCTTTTCTGCCTGAGAATGAACAAAGATCAATTTGTTTTTAAAAACTGCTGGTTTACATGATGTTAGCACTTATTATTTGAATGTAAGCCTTAGGATTCGCAGAGAGTTTGCGATGAATGCGAAACGGCTCTTAAGTCTTTGGTGATCGCTGATGCTGATAAAAAAGCCACCCTCACTTTTACGGAGACGAGCTTGCAAAAAAGTTGAGTTTCGGAAGTTGAGTTTTAATGCGTGGAAAGTTTTGTGGTGCAATCAGTACGTCGTCACTACAACAATCGACTCGTACGCATAGCTAAAACGTCATCGCAACGATCCACTCTGAGTTCTCCATCGGACGGCCATCAAATTAAAAGTTCAGAAAACAAGTAGTCTTTATAGTTCCGTAAGATCTGGCTTAATGAGGAGTTGAAAGAAGTAAGATCTGAAGTTACATTGGGTCCACTGCGCACAACCAATGTGCAGGCAAAGCGACCATTGTTGCGGTGGCATTTTGCAAAAATTATGACAATGTTAGTAGTAGTTGTTCCGAAAGTTTCTCCCGATTTCTAGTTCCCTTGTTTTAACGCAGCTAGTTTTTCAGAGTTATGTACTTGTTGCAACTGAATATTATCTGAAAGCAGTTTTTTTGCTCTTTCTAACTCTCATTAACGCTTGACAAAACACCTTTTCAGTGATGAAAGTTTAAGCCCCGAAGCCAAACTATTAAAACGCAGTCATGCTCAAGCAAAGGTTTTCGTGAACAGAATTCCTACAGTAATCGTGAACTTGGATATGTAATATTTTATAATGGATCAGGATGAATGGGCTAGCATATGCACACTTTGCCTCCAACAAAGCGAAGTCTTACTTTTCAAATTTTTTCTCAAATGTGGAAGACAAGCTCAGTTTTTTGAAAAGTGGCAACAATCTACGTATAGCGAAGGTGGCGTACTCAATAATGCATATGACAAAGTAAAGCGAAAGCAAGCGCAAACCACCGGCCAGTTGGCTTTCTTCGTTCGCGACAGCAGAAAAAATCAAATGTTAGAAAGTCGAACTACTTGCGCGCGCCGAAGATGGCTCAAATAATGGATTTTTTGATTTGCTCGTAGAAATTTCTGTGCAGCAAAGATATCTCAAATTCTCTCTAGCCATGGAAGAATCTTTGAAGTATAGGCTACTTAGTGGTGGCAGCCAAATATGTCCGCGTATCCTTATATGGAAGCATTAGAACGTCAAGTGGATGGTTTTGAAGGAAACTGCAAAATTCTCCATATTTTCTCTTTTCCCATGCTTGCTTTCTTTATATGGCACTAGCTGGCTTACCCGGCTCCGCCGTATCCGGACCAAACTTGGCACACATACACTTCGGGCCCCGGCGGGTGTCACAGTCCACTTTTCGTTATCGATCGATGTCGATTTTACCGATTTTTATCGATTTTTTGCAGAGTTCACCTACAGGGCTAGGAGTTGGCACAGGGGGGGGGGGAAGTGAGCATGGGGATTCCGAATACAATATTAGTTTTCAGGATCGTCCATTACTTTTATCGATTTTATCGATTTTTTTTGTAAAGTTTGACCTGCGGGGCTGGGAGTTTGCACAGGGGGTAATCGAGCATGCAGATTACGATCGGAATTCCCATGCTCGATTACCCCCCTGTGCCAAATCCCAGCCCCCTAGGTGAACTCAGCAAAAAAATCGATAAAAATCGATAAAATCGATATCGATCGATGACGAAAAGTAGCCTATGACACCCGCCGGGGCCCGTAGTGTATGTGTGCCAAGTATGGTCCGGATCGGTTAAGAAATGGAATTTTCTATTCGGAACATACGTACAGACATACATACAGACAGACAAACAGACATTCAGCTTTATATATAAGATACAGTACTTGTGTGATAGATGTAACCTTGCTTGATCCAACAAAATTTGATCTTCGCAAAAATGTTGATTTTGCAGGGAGTTATAACATTCTTAATGAGAGAATCTGCAAATCAAACAGAACTTTTGAAACAACCTAGTATGATAGTAACCTAGTTTATGCAAACAAATTTTCAAGTTCAGGGCAGAACATTAGGAGCGCCAAAAATCGGGTCATATGGCAGTGCTTAGCCGGTCGCCTATGGTCGTGCTCCGTGTCAGCATCAGCGATCACGGGAAGCTGACTCGAGCGCTTCCGGCGCAATCATCGCAAATGCTCAGCGAGACTTGAGGGCTTCATCAGAGACAAGTAAGTGCATGAAATTCTGTGAACCAGCACTATTTTGAAACACTTAAACTCTTTATGCATTTTAAAGTTAGAAATGCTGTACATTTCTTCTTATAGAAAGGCGAACTTTCAGTTCTAACAAATGTTTCATACTTTGATGCCGTAACCACAGGAAAACTTTTAGGCTCAAAGAATTTAGTACTGCCTGAAAAAAGGTGCTTTACATGCGACCAGCCTTTCGAACAAGTTCTTTGAGTCTTCAATTTTTCTCCGGCTAAAATCGATGAACTTGGGAGCCACTCTAGTTGAAAATATAACTTTGAAATCTAAAATAGTGGTTTTTCAGGCCATTTCATTTACTTCAGGAAATTACCGTGGTTATAGTGCGGATAGCATAGGTTTTATAGCTAAGACTAGCATCGAAGATGATCCGGTCATATAATGAAAAAAAATGACGATGGATGGACCAAAAACGATTCGAACATCTTAGAGTGAACTTTGGAATTTTCGATCCGTACATGTGCCAAACCACCAAAGAGATAGTGTGATAAAGCTTTTGTGTAAATCAGCTGCGTCAACAGTTGGGGTTTGCGGAACCAGCAATCGCAAGCGTGTACTAACAAGGGAGGGATACCAACATTAGTCGGCGATTGAAGATGAGATGTACATCAGTAGACGCACATTTAAACGCTGATTTCAAATCTGCTTTTCTTTCTTGCGAAATAAGTTCTCGATAAAAGTTATGAGCGTGTGAATGTCCAAATTTGCCACGTTTGGGTGGCCTAAAATTGGCGAAAACCTACACAAAAACACCAGAAAGTGGAAAATCAGTTTTGTATCAAGTATATTGTTTGCAAGGAAGAACAAAGCCGGTAAAGAACTCGCATAGGTATTGTTTTAGAGCTATTCGTTGATTTTAAGCCACTCACTCGATGCTTGGCAAATTTGGACATTTCAACGGTCATAACTTCTTTCGGAAACCCACTCCGCAAAAAAGGAAGCAGATTTGGAATTAGCGTTCAAAGACGCGTTCAGTGATATACAAATCATCTTCAAACGCCGCCTAACGTTGGTATCCTTCCCTTGTAAGACGATCATGGATGGCGGTAGCCCGAATGTTGAAAAGTTGAGGCGCCCGCACTACGAGTGAGGCTGGATATCTATGTAGTCTAATTATTAGGTTGATAAGAAAATTCTTCTATATTGTCAAATTAATCTGCTTATTCTCGTATGCATGTACATGCGCGAAGATTTGCAGCTGGACATTCTCTCGCATAGTTAATATTGAAGCAAGTGGAAGAAGACCAAGATCAATGGGGACGAGTTTGCCATTTTCAATTACATGGTTTTTTTTTATAAAACTTAAATTCCATACAAATTGTGCTTGTAAATATGTAAGCATATGTGGTTATGAATTAAGTACGTGGGGTTTTATTACATTTAGAGAAGTTGAAAATCGAATTATCTTGAAAATCTATACGTCAAATTTTCGCCTAAATTTTCGGAAAACACTATAATGTTTGTGCTTGCAGTAATTTCGTAGAGATTGCTTTCCTCTATCAAACAGTGTGCAGCGTGCCTTAGTGTTTAAACTAAAACAAATTTTTGTCGATATGTCCGAGACCTTTTTCCAACCAAATAGTTAACCTTACGTCACTTTCTGGGAAACATGGGTACTAAAAGAAGGCTTTTTTTTAAAAAGCCAGTCCCTGAGCACGTCACAATGTCGTGGACAATATTTCTTCGAACGCGAAACTCTTTTAGGTTTTTTGAGTAATAATGGAAGTTTACCAGACAGGGTAGTGGTTACTTCCAATAAGACACAAGGTTGAATTTTATTTTGCTTTTTTTCAAAAAATAACTTCCATTCTCTCCTCCAAATCAAATTTTTTTTACATGGAAACCTATTCCAGACATCCCAACACAGCTGTTCGGATAAATTGGATGCTCTGCTATCTCTATGCATCGGAGGTGTGCTGGTGAATTTCTTTGCTGAAAAGGGTCTTGAGAGTGCGTGCACCTGGCCCCAATTGCACTCACTACTGAATGCACCGCTTTGCAGGCTGTAGCTCCGCCCGCAGTCAATCTGTGAGTCTCTTCGAAAGAGCAAGACTTACTCTACACGATGGTGCGCAAAATGGGATCAAAAGAAGAGACTAAGAAGTCCTTAACATTTGAAAAAAAAGGTAGGCGCAGCCTTGGTAGACTAAAAATTTTCCAAGCAAGGTCAAGCAAAGCTCCATTCGTTACCAGTTTTATACCAGGAGCTCAGAACTGACAATTTCCTTGTAATAATTATTTTGAGCTTTCAAGGCTGTTTAGGTGTTGATAAGGGCCTTCCCTTTAATCACCACTGCGCTTTTCAGCACATTCTCGCAATCTCCAGGATTTCTTATGCTCAAGTCTCGCTCTTTCGAATATGCTTACTGAGAGACTCACAGATTGACTGCAGGCCGGCTACAAGCATGCAAAGCTGTGCAAGTCAGTAGTGAGTGCAGGTGGGGTCATATGCGCGCACTCTCAAGACCCATTTTCAGCAAAGAAACTCACCAGCACACCCCCGATGCATAGAGGATAGCAAAGAACATCCATTTTATCCAAACAGCTGTGTTGGGATGTCTGAAATAGGTTTTCATGTGAACATATTTGATTTGGAGAAGGGAACTGAAAGTTTTTTTTTGAAAGCAAAATAAAGTTCAACTCGTGTCTTATGGGAAGTAACCACTACTGAATTATTGTGCTCAATGAGCTCTACAGAATGGTATGCTTATCTATCCGGTAAACTTCTGTTTTTGTTCCAGAAAAAGACCTAAAAGAAAGTTTTTACATTCGAAGAATATTGTCCGTGACACTGTGACGTGTCCAGGAAGCTTTCAATTTTTTTCTATATCCATGTTTTTCCAGAAAGCGTGACGTGTGAATTGTAGCTCTCTAAAAGTTCTATCATCTCATGCAATCCGATAATTTTTCGTCTTGGTTGTCCATCCGAAAATGAGCGATAAAAAGGAAGCCGGCTTATCTTGAACTTTTTTCTGCCAGTGTACTTGCAAAAGTTCAATCGATTCCTTTAACCTCCGATATAGAATTTTCCTCTTTCTAGCAGCTGTGTTATAAATGAAAAATTCCAAGCTGCTAAGGTGTTCTCTTCACAAGCATGCATGGCGAATATTCGAGGTCCAGAACTGAAACCCGATCCAATTTTCACATGCTACAGACTCAGACGCGTATTATCAAAATCTTCAATCAAGTCATCATTCAGGAAAACTGCATGATCTTAGGATTTTCGTGCCATCTCTCAATACGAAATAGCTGACAATAGTTAAGGATCTACAATATCATCCAGTTGGTTCCCAAAATTTCAAGTTCAAGATGTTGATTATCGTGTTATCTTCTCTACCACTCAAGACAGTAGCCCAGGATTTCCGTTCGGGGAGAGCTTGTTGAAAAAATTTCTGATGAAGGTGCGTGGCTTTAGCCACGCACTTCGAAGATTTTTTGATAGGCTTCCTAAAATTTTTGCGGATTCCTAACCGCGAAATTCTAGAAGAAGGGGACGTGGCGCCAACCCCCGAAGAAATTTTTTTAAGGCAAATTGAATCATTAAAAAATTCAAAATATTATTTCGATTATTTACAAGTATGAACACGTCACTTGCACAGTATAACTCTGTAGGTTACTTACGAATTGACGTTACTGCAATCCGGAGCTTAAATTTCTGCCTTCAAACTTCTTCTACAATGCCCTCAGAAGCACTAAGTAAAGTCAAGGCATTATTTTTACGAAGAGGAGTCCGTACTAAATGGTTACAACATTTTAGAGATCCTAGCATTTACGTATAATCACGGAAATCATCCTGCAGGAACTGATTGCGACAAGCATCAAAGCTAATGTGGCTAACCACATTTTTCACAAGAATCATGTGCTAACATGCAACACAAGCTGTATCCACTATCTAGTAAATAATTTTTTTTATTTATTTAAATAATTACTGTCAAAAATCTAAGTGAGGTAGCACTTGGAAGCTATTTTGGAATTGAGTAACACCATTATTACGTTGCATTCATGATTCATTCATGATTCGAAAAAGAAGCAAAGGCAGCTTTGTGAACACTTGTGAGTATTTCGTATAAATTTATCTTGTGTAAAGAATGCTTCCACTATATCTTGAGGTCATAATGACGAAGCATAAAGGGTTTTAGGGCAGAAACTGAAGCTTAGGCTTCTGATTAAGTTAATGTCGGATTTGCTTCAGCAGCAAAAACTCAGGTTTTTTCTTATGCTCACGTCAAAAAGCATAAAGAAGGTAGACGAAATCCCGTCGCTTCCAGTCCAGCTGAGAAACTGCGGAATTTCCTACTCAAAGCAGGTTTCTGGAGCGAAATACATGTGAACGCGTTTTCATCATGGTCATCATCATTTTCATCAACGCATCTTGATATATTGCGAGTCTTCGAAGCTTTAGAAAGTCGTCCAGTTGCCATTTCAACTGAGTGCAAATTCTTTTTGGCATCAGTGACTTTTGTTATCCCTACCTGGCACGTAGCTGGGAATCACTGGGACGCCAATAGCATAAGCGGAGCCTTCAAACAAACCCGTCGAATGTGCACCAATTATGTTTTTCAATCCAATCGCCTCAAACACCGCTGAAAAAGCTAACTATTTCAAAATATCCACAAAATCAAACTCTTTAACGTACGAAAGCCGGAGAACTCGAACAGCTCCGTGATGCCGACATCAAAGTTTTCAGACTTCAATTGCTGCAGCAATTGATCGTCATTGAGGAGCGCTGCAACTTTACAGAGATTATGACTGAATACCAATGTGAGACACCTACTTCTCGCAATGGCCTTGAAAAATTCCTTCAACATAGGTATACCCTGAAAACGCGGAGTAACATTATAAAATCAGAAGATTGCCATGACATAGCACAACTACTTCTTATTGCTCTTACGTAGTACATACTTTGAAAAATGATATTGGATTCGAAACGCTGTCCGTCCACTTGCTTTCGTGATCTTTCAGCATCTTGGCTACCAATGGAACAAGGTCTTGTTGAGGCTCCACTTGAATTAGTCGTGATCTTTTAGTGCCATTGTTCGGATGTGGTGCAAGCACAGGCTGTAGTGTCACCTAAAATATGAGCTAGGAAGTTCTAATAGTTTCTTCTTCATGACATTTCCTTTGTTCATGAGTTTCTGACTTTGCATGAGTAATCACTGTTTCGTATTAGGTAATTCTTTGTGATTGTGCAATTCAATTTGTGAGAATCGAAGAATCTTTTTTAAGAACTGACCACATGGTGCCCGGCATCCACGAGAACATCAGCAATTTTTCCCATAAAATTCATGTGGCTGTACGCCAACTTGGGATTGACGATAAGGATTTTGTACGAATCACAGGAGTGGACCACAAATAGCAGTAGGGCAAGCGACAGCATGTCTACAGCTAAAATTAATGAGAAAAGCTACCATGGCAAAGAGTTCGATGAAGGAGAAACATGTATGTGAATGAGTGCACAGTGATTCTTTCGAAGGAGATGGTAGGGTGAAGTGAAAAGTGAGAAGTTTACAGCTCTTTGTGGACCTGCTCACCAGAATGGATATTGACAGACAAGCACCGCAAACTCTTTATAATTCGCGTGACCTTGTTCAAATTCTAGATTAGATGTTTTGTACCGCTAGTGTAATATTGAACGTCTTTGATTTCGAATTTCGAAGATTTTGTAGTGTTTGTTGCAATTTGCTTTGTGCAGTTCCATTGAAACTGAATGCTCTAGAGAGGTCATTTCAAGAAGCGGTGAAAGGCAATTTTAGCTGAAAAATAAGTTTTAAACATTTATTGCCTTATATTTTACTAGCTGGCATACCCGGCTCCGCCGTATGTTCCGAATAGAAAATTCCATTTCTTAACCGATCCGAACCAAACTTGGCACACATACACTTCGGGCCCCGGCGGGTGTCACAGTCCACTTTTCGTTATCGATTGATGTCGATTTTATCGATTTTTTTTGCAGAATTTGAGCTAGGGGCTGGAATTTGGCAGGGGGATGTAATCGAGCATGCTGATCACCCCCACGGGGGTGATCAGCATGCTCGATTACCCCCCTGTGCCAAATCCCAGCCCCGTAGCTCAAACTTTGCAAAAAAATCGATAAAATCGATAAAAGTAATCGATAATCCTGAAAACCAATATTGTATTCGGAATCCCCATGCTCACTTACCCCACTGTGCCAACTCCCAGCCCCGTAGCTCAAATTTTGCAAAAAATCGATAAAATCGATATCGATCGATACGAAAAGTAGCCTATGACACGCGCCGGGGCCCGAAGTGTATGTGTGCCAAGTTTGGTCCCGATCGGTTCAGAAATGGAATTTTCTATTCGGAACATACGTACACACAGACAGCCAGACAGACAGACAGACATACAAACAGACATTCAGCTTTATATATAAGACTAGCGACCCTACGGGTCGCTAGCAAGCGGGTAGGGCACACCCATAAATAAACGTCTTTCATACCTATAATTTCCTCAAGTGAAATTTCAATTTATCAGTACATGTATTGCCACAACCGCTCAAAAGTAACATTTTCAGAGATATTTCAATAGGAGGAAAGTGGATCATATCGTGCTAAAATTTTGTCTTGCCCCAGTCATCGCTGTACAGCTTCATTTCGCAATGTCACTCTCGCACTCACGCGTACAATCTGGAAAGAAAAGTCGAATTCACCCAGTGCAAAAGCTCCCAAAAGCGAGATCTTCGAAGATTTTCTCAAAATTTGGCGGAAAAGTGGACCATATCGTGCTAAAGTTTTGTCTTGCCCCAGTCATCGCTGTACAGCTTCCTTTCGCAATGTCACTCTCGCACTCACAATTACAATCTGGAAGGAAAAATCAAATTCACCCAGAGCAAAAGCTCCCATAAGCGAGATCTTCGAAGATTTTCTCAGAATTTGGCGGAAATGTGGAAGCATAGTGAATACTGAGATCGAATGTGAGCGGATCAAATGGTATGTTTCTATAACTAACTTTGCATTGGCACGCGCTTGCGTCTTTCAACACACCCATTGCAGCAGCAGAGCGTACCCTGCGTGTCGTGGCCTCTCGTTCGCGCTAGGGCCTCTGCGTCCTCTTGACCTCATGATCTCACCGTCGCGTCTCTACACAATAAGGCCCCGTTCGGAAACTGACGTCTATTCAAAACACCCGCTGAAGCATACATGTGGGCGGACCATCCTCGCCGTCTCGTTTTTTGGGATCGGGTTTATATTATAGGAGAGGATAGGGTTAGCGCGGCAATTAGACGATGCATTCACCGAGCTGAACTGCAGAATGATGTAATATTGGTTGAGGTACCGAAAGATAACATTAAGAAGCAGCTAGTTCGGAATAGACTCTACGATTACGAATGCATAGTAGATGAATGCATCGTATGAACGTACGGCAATGTTGGGGATTGTGCAAAGGCAGGTGTGATATACCAGTTGGAATGTTTGAGCTGCCAAGACTGTTACATAGGAGAGACGGGTAGAGCGTTGGGTGTAAGATTAAAGGAACATTTGGCTAGCAAAAGACGTGGGATATTGACAACACCGTTGGAAAGAGGCAAAGCTAAGGCACATGCTGGAAATGACTTTAAAGTCAAATGTACCATTCTGTCTTACGAAACTGAGATTTGCGCAAGAAAGATCCTTGAGGCAGCATGGATACTTACGAGGAATCCTAGAATGAACGCTAAGAATGAATGCGTGTCAATCAACAGTGATCTCTTGCCGTGCATACAGCTATGCAATCTGAACAGCCGCACATAAATACCCTTGACTCACTGGGTGACACTCAGTGACGTCCGCTATTGTCCCATTGTGCGGACTTACTGGTATGCGGTGGAGTTAAGGTTAGCTCGTTTCACGACTTTGATGGTTTCCCGCTGGCTGCTATCCTCCGATGAAATCTAGACTAGCACTTGTGGAGGAGGCTCTTGGCGGTGTACTGATCAGATCCAAAAACCTATAATCTACGTTCAGACCTCTTGAAAAAGACGAGCCCGTGGAAACGTCGGTCGAATAAACATCCACCATGAAACCTGGTTTTACGACAACCAATTACTGACACATATCAAAATGCCCAGGTTCAAATATAAGAGAGTTTTTGATTTACTATAATATAAGTGTTCTTTGGTGCATCCCAATTGGATAATGTTACAATTTTGATTGAGTACTGCCAAAAAGATTTCCAAAGATGCAGTGAAATGAGGAGTAGCCATCACACATTCTTCTTTCTAACTTGGTCTCAAGATCTTGACTCTTCTTAGCTTAGCAAAGTTTGAAAAAGTCTCCAAAAGATTTCTGTGAAGTTTCAATTTTCGCAAAAATTAATAGACTGATTTTTCTTTTGTGTTAATTCAAAATAATGAATTTTATGAAGATTTCAATGTAGATTTCTCAGCGAAACACCATGGCCGGTAGTAATCTACCCTAGCTGGTGTCAACGTAGATGCCGGCAAGTAGGCACACTCGCGGGAAGTTGCGATCTCCAGCGGCAACTCGAGGAGTGATTGTAGGTTCTAATAATCTTTATATAACCGTGGTACGCAATCATTTCGCACATTAAATTTTGATGACGCAGACAGTCGCAAAACTGCTACAATGCGCACAATCGAACCTAAGTGCGTTAACTTAGAAAGCCACTACGCTAACCATTCGAGCATTCAGACAATATTGCCGTTTGCACCAGCAATAGGAGGAACGCACGGGTAAGTGGCCGCCTGTGAGGAGGATCAATACATTGCGTGAGAGTCTTTGACCTGAAAGAACAGCTGAAGAGAGGGCGAAATCGGTGCAAACGAGATTTAGAAGGGATTGCTAAAAAAAAGTTTCTTTATGGTTCTAAGGCATTATTGAATTTTTCCTCTGTAAGAAAATCGTCGTTTGAAAAAATAACTTTTATAATGAGAAAAATGATAGTTCTATGATAGAGTAGAATTTTTTGATTCTTTCGCTTGACGTAAATTGTGTGATATTGCCGTATTACCCAATTTTACAAACGCCGTCGGCAAAGGTGCCAGCACCGCGACGTGGTAGGGGCACATCGAGATGCCGGCTTCCTCTCTCAAAAGAGCACGATATTTCGCTCTGCTCTTTGACCTGCGGGCAGCTGCCAGCTCGCGGATTTTGACGAGGTGCCGGCAGGTTGCCGGCAACTGACCTTGCGAAGTTGCCGGCAGCTCCCCCCGCGCTTCCCGAATTGTCCCACAGGATTTCTTACAGGACCCCAGAGGATTTCTGGGACCGCAAATTTTAATGGAGGTTTCTATAGGGTTGAAGCGGCATCTCCATCGAGAAAATTTTATGGAAAAAGTCTGGGGCATCTTAAATTTGGGGCTTTAATTTCTGGCCACCTCACGGAAAGGTGCCAGCGACCTGCCGACGAGACCTGTCGCCAGGTCAGGCAATACTAAAGACCCATGTGTCCATAAATTATGTCGATAAATCATATTCAAAAAATTGTAGCTTCTTCAGATGAACAGCGCGGCAGCGGTAAGAAGCATCAAAACTGTTTCTTACCCCTCTTTTAGAAAGTATCAGGTTGTCCCATAAGTTTTTTCATTCTGAACTTTCAAATTTTGCTTTTAGCGGCTCTGTGTTCCCCGCAAACATGTGATTATATAGGTTATTCACTCAGAAATACCGTCAAAAATTGCAACCTTGTAGGTGCCTAGTTCTTGAGAAACATCAATTTGAATCCAAGTACGAAAACACTTATGGGGCAATCTAATGATAGCTTATCTGGATTTCAATATCACCTCGTGGAAGGGGGTGCATATGATTTCAAAGGTCTACATGTTTTCAGGGCAAAGAATCGTAATACCTATAGAAGAGCTAGAGCAACATGACGTCATTCGACCTCGTCAGTCGACACCTTCGGCCAATTGACGTCTTGTCCGGCCCATGAGCGGCAGGTTTTCGTCATGTTCTGCGTTTTCATTTTGTTTCTTTTTTGTGCCTACACTTGTCGATTCGTTCATTTTTTCCCGACTGATCTCGCTTTCCTCCTGAAGTGATTTAATCCTCTTGCTCCGATTTGCCCCATTATTGATCATTTTTGCGGTTGACGTTTTGGTATTGAGCATTGCATTGATTTCTAGCGAGCAACAGAAGATCAAATATGGCGCGGTAGCGCTCACAAAAGATCCAAGAGCAAAAGGGAATTTCTCAAAACTCAAACACGCAAGAGAGTGGACTTAGTGCTAAGGTGGGTACGCAGAGGGGCGACTTTGCCCAATGTCTGGTTAGGATCTGCTTGCATTTATTTACGAGGTGAACAGAGGCCTCAAAATTCGAAAAAAAGTAAACGCTCGATTTCATGTGGTTTTTAGAGTTTGGAAGTCGGACAACATGACGCACAGTGTAGTGGTATCGGGATTGCAAGACATCTGAATGTCGGGATTATC